CTCATCGTTGGCTTTTCAGAGTCTGCTTGGGTCGGCTTTTCTTATTTTTTTCATACTAATTTTAACACGAAACATTATTGAATGAACTTTGATACGTTCTAAGATTCCTTTTACATGATCCTGAACTAGGAAATTGCCCAAAAACTTTAAAGAAAGCAACTTCATTTTTTTCACTTTACTTTACTCTAGTTTACTTTACTTTTTGGATAAAGTATATCTACTTTACTTTATTGAATAAAGTAAATGTAAATACTTTATTTTATTCAATAAAGTAAGGTATATTCACTTTACTTTATCGGATAAAGTAAAGTTCGAATACTCTACTTTATTTGGTATAGTAAAGATAAAGTGCCACTCTACTTGAGACATGTTTTTCTATTGTTGCGTCTTTCAGGGTGGGATTTTTGTTTTCTGTTTTCTCTGCAAGCGATAACGATCTCTCCTCACTGTGAAACACAGAGATGGATAAGAGAACCGTAAAAAAACTGCCTTCATTTTCTGTTTCTTTTATAGCTTATCATCAACAAAATATTCTTTCTGTTGTTCTCCATCTTCTTTCTCGGCTATTCTACTGCTCGATTTTCCAGTTACTGCCATTCAATGCTATCAATGTTCAACTGATGTAAACGCCCTTCTGTGCGAGCAACCTTCAGTACTAAGTAACGCCGAGTTTTACTTATTGCTTTATTCTATACTAAAAACTTAACCTTGTGAATCTTCGTTTTGGAATCACCACGAAAGATGACGTGGGCTTACTCAACATATCTTACTGCAAATATGCTCATTTGTTTTGGATTAGTCATTATTTGTATAATCTCCATCGGTATCCTACTCTCAGCTCGTCCCAAAGTGTTCTACGGCTTAGTTAAGACAATGTTCGGTATAGAGTACACTTCACGTAGCGACAAAGATCAACCAAAAACACCCGATTTATGCGACAAAGATCAACCAAAAACACCCGATTTATGCGACAAAGATCAACCAGAAACACCCAATTTATGCGACAAAGATCAACCAGATACACTCGATTTATGCAACAAAAAGTTCGAATTGAGGAATACGAATAAATGGTATACCCGCCTACTTCGTTGCTCTCTCTTTGTTACGACTGCCGCTGTGATTGCAGTGACACTGATCGTCTTCGTCGATGGTATAATTTTAAATACTATTTATCTTCCTCCAAATCAAGCATGTCCAGAAGATGGTAATATGCACTGCTATTCGATATCTGATAATCACACGTACTTCTACTGTAACTCATCTGACATTTTGATTCCTGAATTTCTGGGTAGTGTGACTTGCTACCGATGGCTTAAGAAAGGAATTTCTACTCTAGAAATCCTTGAACAAATCGGACTATGTGCTGGGCTTATCCAAGTATTCAATTGGATGGTAAACTTGTACGCACGACTGCTACTCTGTGTATGTGCATGTCCGCCCGGTCAAACGACTGGTAACTGTAAAATACGTTATTACTGTGGTTACATGTTGATTGGTCTAATTGTTGTCAGTGAACTTATTGCTATATTAATCCTTGTCGCACAAGAAGTTGCTGTTACAGGATTAACGATGGCAGTTCTGAGTTGCGCATTAATCATCGAGATTGCGATGCTAGCTTTGATTTTGACATGCAGAAAAAAGCAAATAAGTGTGATAGCACCAGAACTTTCGAGAAATACGACGGCACGCGAATCTAATGAAATGCGCGTTTTGGACGTCAAAACACAAAAATGATCAGCTGGAATTGGTAAAGACATATAGGGAAATGCAGTTGGGTGTGGGTCTTGCTTTCATCTGTAGCTACACCCACACCCACATCCTAGATGAATTTGATATGTTTATTAACGTCTATTTTTTTACGATATTATCTAGCACTTGAGAAAATAATAAAGTACATTTTTATTAGTCTACCGGAAGACAGAAGATTATTACCATTGATAACAATGAAAATGACGTTCTACTTGATGCATGAGAGCCGTAACGAGAATATACCTACGTCAATGAAGAAAGTATTAATCATATTGTTTTCCTTTCTATAAAAAACGGAGCGAATGACGTTGGTACTACTCAGATGGAATAAGAATCTTTCCAAATAGATTCCTATGCATTACTGCTTTGACATATCATGTAGATGGATTGCATGTTCGAATGAAATAAATAATGTTCAACGAATACTAATTCGCTTGTCTCTTGACTGAAAGGTGATGTAAGTGATTAATCAGAGAGATACGTAGCATCTCTGCATTAGGAAACTATTCTTTTGGAATTGAAATGAAAAGTTTTCCAAGATCATCACAATTGGCTCAGACATTCAATAAACAGCAAAAATCAACACAAATCAGTAATGATGAGGATCAATGGAGAGAAGTAAATAGAACGAAGAAGAGTCTAAATTATACGTACTAGCGAAGACTACCAAAGCTTTGGAAATCTGTCTGAGGATTTAAAAAATGTGAGTGTATACTTCAGCAATTTCAGATCGCAAAAAATGATCAGATTGCATTTTTTTTAAGAATTAAACTAAGTAGAAGAAGAAGTTTCGATCGGACACGAAATTCCAAGTACTTTTGATCTATAGGAACATCTGAAGATTTAATACGTGTGTCCTACTTCAATTTGATTTGTACCTAAGCTTTGTCATTCTCATAGAGAAATGCAATGTGACAACATTATGTAATATTTTAGAAACACGTTTTGAATATGACATGTAATATGAAATAATACAATGATCAACTCTTTCAATTATATTCTCTATAGAATAAAATCACATTGACCATCTCTATGTCAGGACTCCAGCATAAACATGGAATGAATCATATGATAAATGATGATAGATCGATTAATCATAGGTTGAATGAATAGAATTGAAAGACGTGCAATATCTTGAAAAAAATTAGTCTTTGCATCAAGATATTAAGAGAGGGTGTGGGTGTGGGTGTGGGCGGGTGTGGGTGTGGGTGTGCTGGCTGGGTGTGGCTGTGGGGCTGGGGTGTGGAGTGTGGGTGT